AATTGAGAAATGAATAGAAAAAAGATTTTTCATGGAAACATAAATACCCTGTATCTTGAAATCTAAAATATCACAATGAATCACCCCTTGATTTTTTTCTGTGTTATTTAGATACACCCTGTATAAAAGTTCGGATAAGTTTGTTCTTATTTTGGTTTTGTTTGTGTCTTGAAACGAAGGCGTATTATGTTCACGATTCAATTTAATGGCTGCTCTAGTTTACTGAAAAGTTCTCACATGAGATAGCTATTTGGAATATCAAGAACATTCATCAATTAGTTAAACAAATAATAAAATTCTGGGTATCAATAACATGAGTAGTTAATCCACAAAAAGACAACTATCGGAAGAAGAAGATGAAATTACAATGAGAAAATTGAAGAAATTCAAGAATTTTCGATAGTATCAAGTATCTCCCAATTTTTGTATAAACCATATATACGGGGGCAATGTCAAACTATCAATGTGCAGGTGCATACATGATACATGGTGAACCAACGAAACCGAAAGATACTGATAAATGACTCTCACGAGTAACCTTTTTTTAAGAAAACGCCCTTCTTGAATATTTGGGGGACATATTTTTATCATATAGTGGGCATGTCAATGAGAAGAAATTCGTTAAAAGCTTGATATGGCAATTGAAAGAAAAAAGCTAAGACAAGTCGATTGTCATTTTCCGTAGCACAATAGTTTGTAGGTTCATTCAATCCTGTTATCATTTTTATAAATAACATCATTATGGATTGAATCTCTTTTATTTCTTAATAATCAGGTGATGTAACATGAAAAAATTATGACATTCAGTCACTAAAAAATCTGTTATTTCCGAAAGTATAATCAAGACAGAGGGGTATATTGTGATTAAAAAAAAAGATAATGACGTCATAATACGAGCAGTGATGACGTCATCAAAAATATGAAAAAAATCAACATGTTTAAGCTATTGTTTCACACTAGCTATTTGAAGCTTTTAACGAATTTGTTACTCTGTATATCCCCAGCCTCTATATTTCCTCAATTTCCTACAAAAAACCAATTTATAGAATCTCAACATTCTCAACGCCCTGTTTAGCTCATCTCCTCCCTATCTGTCTTTGGAGTAATTATTCCACCACTTCCCTCCAAAGAAATTGGTGGAAATCAAAAACAGAAATCTTGTGTTTGTCCTCTATATGCCGCTCTTCCAAACTACTTTTTATACAGGGAATCTAATTGGAGGGCAATTCAGTCGGAACCATACACTGCATTGGAGTTGCTGATCGATACAAGTGGAATTGGAGGAGATAGTAAAGAGGGGAGGGGATTCAGCTGGAATTTGGCTGCAGTAGACAAATAAACTCAAAAGGGAACATAATATAGTTCGTACAGTGTTCTAAAGATACATAGCTAATAGAGCAGCTCTAGATTATCCCAATTCTTCCAACATTCGACCACAGATAAACTTACGTGACATAGATTTGATTAGAATGGGGCCTTCAGGCTATCCACACCGCGAATCCTTTAGATCTGTTGTGTCTGTGTTCGAAATCCTTTGAGAAAGAAATCCAAGTATTTCAAAGATCCATAGCTGATAGAGCAGCACTAGATTATCCCGACTCTTCTAAGGTTCGATTCACAAATATCTTACTAGACATAGATTACACTCGGACAATCCACACCGCGACCTTTTAAGATCTATTGTGTTTGCTATCGAAATCCTTTAGAGTCCCGCTTTTCTATGAGACTCCATAGAATAGCCTTCACATCCCCTGTGTATCTTTGGGCTCTTGATATTTCTTCTCCCAGCATGACAAACCCAAACGGGGGCAAAGTATGTGTACTGCTGTTTCATCTTTTTCCTGACAAAACCTTCACAGCAGTTATTCAACCAGATCTATCTTACTCATGTGTTTGTTGATCCTTCAATACCCTGTGAGGTGTCCCACTAATGTTTCCATTGAACTAAGTGACGTAATATGTATGTTTTTCTATACTACTAGCTGTAGGACCTACCATTAAGTACTCCTTTTCAAGGCGTCAAATGTGTTGTCTCTACCAAGGTAGTTTTCGTCATTTTATGGACTACTAGTTTATAAGGAAATAGCCACATCTGTTATAATTAACCCGAATTTACTGTTCTGATTCGAGATTGGCAGGAATGGTACTCGAATCTAGTCCATATCAACGATTTGTTGGAAGCAACTTCATGTCCAGTACACAGCATCGCGGGTGATAGTACCCTCCATACCGCCATCCCTTCCAGGGCTCCAATACCAGCCAGGCAAATCAGAAACGAACGAGGGAGAAATGTTGACAACATAAATATGGACTTGGCAACAATTCTCGAATGGGGATCCAATAACTTGGTAGATTTCAATGCAAACAAAACACAAGCATGCCTTTTCTCTAGAAAAGTCGATCTCACTGTGCCCAACATAAGCTTGTCAGGAGTAACCATACCTTTGGAGACATCCATCTCAATGCTTGGTATCACCATCAGCAACAACCTTTCTTGGGAAAATCACCTGATATCAATTGCTTAAAGTGCATCCCAAAAACTTGTTTTTCTGTTTCTGGCCAGTTGCTATTCCACTTTCAGTCAGCTGCTTATGATCTATAAGGCACAGATCCGACCTGTCCTAGACTGCTGTTCTCATATTTGAAGTGCAGCACCCAAACATACCCTGAATCTGTTGGATTCTGTCCAAAAAAGGGCAATTCATCTCGTGGGTGATGCCTCGCTCACAAATTCACTCACTTCACTGGAACACCGTAGAAAAGTTGGAAATCTGGCTCTATTTTATAGATATGTTCATGGACGATGCTCTTCTGAAATATCAACAATTGTTCCTCCTTGGGAGTCCCCGCGAGATTGACCCGTCGAGTTGAGGCTTCGCACCCCTTCGTGGTCACTTTGGAGACCTGCAAAACATCTCTTTCCAAAGACTCGTTCATCCAACGAACAGCAAGGCTCTGGAACACATTGCCAAGGGAGGTGTTCCCCGACGCATATAACCTTCAGAAATTTAAGAACGCCAATGCCTACCTCATTTCCCTTGGTTCTCACGATGTTCTCTGAACATATCCCTTTCCGTGAGAACCAGAACATAAAAAAAATATAGCCGTAGAAAAAGAAAATTATCACCACGGGATTCTTGCTCGGCTGAAGCCTCGGGATATAATCTTGATTCCTAGGTCAAAATGATATTCCTAACTACGTGTATACATTACTAATATGCTGGAAGGTCACTTGTTGATTTTCTGTGGCATTCTGGAATGATAATTCTTGAAAACATCCTCCATTATATTCTTCAGAACGTTCTAAAAAATAACATGCCTAGTTGAATGAAATGGGTACGACAGTTAACTGATTCTATGAATTTTCTAGGAAGACCTGTAGGGGTAGATTTGTTGATGGTAGATCAAATGGTGTGATCGAAGAATCACACAGCACACTAAAATGCGAGGGGTAAATCTCCAGGAAAAATGTGTACACCAGACTTCCAATTAACATAGACTTCCAAAGACTTCCGAAGACATCCAAAGACTTCCAAATACTTCCAAATACTTCCAAAGACTCCCAAAGACTTCCAAAGACATCCAAAGACTTCCAGAGACATCCAAAGACTACCAAATACTTCCAAAGACATCCAAAGACTCCCAAAGACTTCCAAAGACATCCAAAGAATTCCGAAGAATTCCAAAGACTTCCAACGGAGTGTACACCAGACTTCCAAGGAGATTTACCCCTCGCTAAAATGTTTTGGTCTGGCTGATACATTATAGATGATTTGAAATCAATGGAGGGTGAGCCTGAAAATCTGTGAAAAACAGTTCGAACTTCATGTCTTCAGATGAGGATAGGAAAATAACACAGGGCATTTATTATTGAGGTTTAAAATATAGATTTATTGGCTTGGGCAGACTTGTAGTGTCGATAAAAAAATTACAGCCAACTGAATTAATACTGTAGCCTCAGAGTTTTCAATGGAAGAGCTGTGAGAAAAGGAAACAATTTTTCAATTTGCTAAATACTGTACATTCATTATTCCAGATTTTTTGGGATTTTCTCTCCTCGTTTCTATAAAATAAAAATATAAATATTATTTCAATATACGTGTAGTAAGGACAAATCAGATGATTTGAACCAAAATGTCACTGCGTTTGAAGAATTTTCCTATCAGAGAGCCTTTAAGAAAAATTCACCAGTTTGTCAGTGACAATTTGTATTAAAAAAGGTTTGGAGAAGAGAAATAAAGGTATATAGAAAAAATATAAAATTTTCACTTAGCTTTGGACGTTTCGGAAACGAATCTGCTCCTGTTTTCAACATGAAAAATGGTTATTTGAATAGCAAATTCGTATCTGTCTTGAAACTTTCCAGTTCTCAGTGATAATTGGTGACGTTGGCAATCAAATGTGTTACAGGATGTTTTCATTAATCAATCTTGAATTTGCCATTTTCATTTTCATTCTTCTGAACGCAGACAATAGCATTTCTTCTTGTTCAGTTGATATAGATAGAACATGGTATTCACTACTGAAATCTGAAAGCTATTCAAATAACCATTTTTCATGTTGAAAACGGGAGCAGATTCGTTCCCGAAACGTCCAAAGCTAAGTGAAAATTTGATATTTTTTCTATATACTTTCATTTCTCTTTTCCAAACCTTTTTCAATACAAATTGTCACTGACAAGCTGGTGAATATTTCTTTTAGGCTCTCTGATATAAATTCTTTAAAAGCAGTGACATTTTCGGGCAAATCATCTGATTTGTCCTCCCTACACGTATATTGAAATCATATTCATTTTTTTTCTATAGAAAGGAGGAGAGAAAATCCCAAGAAATCTGGAATAATGCATTTCAATTTGCTACTGAATCCATAACGCAACCCTCCCTCTCTTCCTTTGTGGCCTTCAGAATCAGCCCGGACCTGATATTCCAACCCCCACCCCTCGAATGCTTCCCGCTCGATATCGGGGTTGCTACGTGCCATTGGTCCGGTTTTCCACCCTTGTCAGTGTCGTTTTAGGAGTATGCCGGTCAAGTAGTGAAAACTGTTTTTCCCTCTTCTGAAAATTGCTCAAAATTTTGGGTGCGGATCTTCGAGAAAAATCGCTCGATCGAAATGGTCACTGAAAATGGACAGGTGAGTGAAATTTTTCACTTCGATGTTGGGTAACCCAAATTTTGAACCATATGAACGTGAAGTTTTCCAAACAACATGGAGGCATATCAATGGGTTATGCATGAATTTTCTGGAGATGATGAGTCTAAATATGATATTCATACCAATATCAATGTTTTCATTTGATTCAACACTTGAACGTGAACAAGACATATATTTGCTTATCACGACGATATAGAGGAACACGATTTAAAGAACACATTCTGATAAATTCGAAAAATATCGAGTGCTGCCCAAGTATATTTGAGACTGGTCGAAACATGTGAAAAACAATGATTATTGATGGAACCTTTGCATTTTTTAATTCTCCAGATTTTTCAAGATTTTCTCCCCTTGTACAAGTATTATTCCAGTATCCAATCCTGAATCAGATGATCTGCCCCAAAATATCTCTTCTTTTGAAATTTTACCATTAGAAACCTCATGAAAATGTTTATTGATAGTCAGTAACACCTTTCTTTCGTGAAATGTTTGATGAAGAAGTATATAATAATGTATATTGAAAAATATACAATCCCACTGAATTTTGGTCGTTTCGGGAACAAATTATTCCCCCTGTTTTCAACACGAAATTTCTTTCTACATTTTCCATCTTTTTCTCATCTAGCGATTGAACCAATCACTTGCAATATTCGTTTCTGTCTTATTGACCCTCAAAAAAAAAAACAAGAAACGCTTGATACTCCGAAAAAATATTAATTTCAGCCGAGGTCGATAAAATGTTATATCTGAGAACTGAAAATGAATAGATTGATTCGTTATGCAATTTTTTTGTCACCCCTAACACCAATTTTGGAAAACGTGATGCCATTCTAATCCGTCTTCTATAGAAATATTTCAACAAACTAATTCAAGAGTCGGCATACTGTCTGAAGGAACACATGAGTAATCTTCAATGCAACATATTACATATATTATAAATGAGAGACAAATTACCATCATCTCTTATAGCTCACGTCAGCTCACGTTTCAAAAAAGGGCACGTCTTTTAGGAGAATTATAATCCTGCTGTCCAATTATTCTTGTGAAAATGATTCAATACCCAAGTGGAAGCTCTTTTTTATTCAAACTGGAGATAGCTCAGTATTCTCATATGTAATACCACAAGTGATAATATTTTGCCGGAAATATTCGGTGATTGTTACGACAGCTTGTTGCCTAGTAATTTCGCGAATCATGAACGAAATTAGAGCAGCAAGCTGGAGTATGTCAATCGACGAATATTTCCAGGAAAAATAGTATCACGAGTTGTATTCGTATGACTATTTCATGATTGAATGAGACAATATATATAAGAAATAGGTAACATAATTTAAGTATATTCCAACTCAAACTGCCAAGAAGAACGTAATGATAGAAATGAAATACAGAATTCAATTTTTCAGAAATTAACTATAGGTACCTACTTATAGTTATTCACAAAGTGGAATGTACAATTTTGATAAACAGTATTTTTATTTATTATCTTGGAGATGGTTGCTCCCAAAAGAGTGTATACAGGGTGTTATTTAAGTACGTGGCCAAACTTGAAGGGGTGATTCTTTGAGTGATTCTAAGACGAAAAGTTCATATGAACATAGGTCCGGTAATGCTTCGTTTTCAAGATACAGGGTGTCAAAATTTTTAAAAGAAATAGTTTTTTCGTAAATATCTTAACAACCCTCCAACCGATTTTATTGAAATTTGGCATTGTTATTCAAGGTCGTAAAGGGCTAATTCAACCCCAACTATATCAAAATTATCATGTCCAGTGGCGTCCCGGAAGGCACTGTAACCAATATTTTTGACAGAAAAAATGTGCGCCACTGATTTTTTTGCAATTTTTGTATTTGTTTCACATTGAGCAACTAGAATTACAACTTTTTCATATCCTGAATTTTTTTCGTATCTTGCTTTGTTTTTGAGAAAAAACATAAAAATCACTTCATTGCACATCCCTGTGACAACACAATAAAACATTTCAACTACTAAACCATCAAAAAATGGGGTCTTACTAATATTTTCTCATATTAATACTCTTTTCTAGTCTTGGAATCTTCTATCAAAATTAATGCAATGAAAAAACAAAAAATATGTATGTATGAATTGCAGCACTTGCCTTCGGCTCTTGGCTTCGGCTCGTCACAGGGATGTGCAATGAAGTGATTTTTTTATGTTTTTTCTCAAAAACAAAGCAAGATACGAAAAAGATTCTAGATATAAAAAAGTTGTAATTTTAGTTGCTCAATGTGAAACAAATACAAAAATGGTTATTAAGATATTTACGAAAAAAACTATTTCTTTTAAAAAATTTGACACCCTGTATCTTGAAAACGAAGCATTACCGGACCTATGTTTATATGAACTTTTCGTCTTAGAATCACTCAAAGAATCACCCCTTCAAGTTTGGCCATGTACTTAAATAACACCCTGTATAATTGCTATCCAATTGAAACAAAATAAATTGAATTTATGTGACATGAAATAATAAAAAAAAAGATATTGTCGCCGAGGGGCTCGAACCAACGACCTTCGGGCAACAACCCTATCAGTTGAGTGATTGAAGAAGATTACTTCAAACAGGAATTTGAATTCTAGTATTGTTGTGTCAGACCGTTAACAAATATGCAAACTTTTTAAATTATACATGAAACGTCCAGCCAGAATGAAATTGTCTCGCCTTTCGTACAAAATATCTCACTAACGCGAATTATAAGTAAATAAAATAAAGTAGGAACTTAGAGAGGATATTGTCTCAGATTAGAATCCAAAGCAATCTTGACCAGACACGATGTCAAAATTTTATCGCTGATAAACGAGGTTTGTTGGTCACGTGTGGGTCAATTCGACTTCTGTATTGGTAGAGCAAGTCCGATAAAATTTAATGAACAAAAAATATCGCTAGAATACAAGAGAAACCGTGAAAATGGTCGATTCTGATTGGTTCTCGAGATCAAGAGTGGAATAGTCATTCCTAAATTAAATTGAAAGATAAAAAATACCATTATTCATTGTCGCTTGCCATTGCCTCATTATGGAATCCATTTGAATGTTTCCGTAGATACACCAATATACAAACACACACACAAATAATATACTTCAGTTAATGAAAGGTACACGATATTTTTATTCTTTGGTAATTATATATTCACCCCCCAAATTCAACCCTTATCTAGCCATTGGTATAACATGATGTCATACATTTCGTCATCAAATTATTCTGTATGCACCCTAGAGGTTTGATGTTTCGCCAGTCCTGACAGTTCTCTATTTTATTGTCTCTAATTTCCCAGGTATAATCTGATAAAAGAATTTAATAATTATAAAACGGAATATTTTTCACGAATCTCTTTATTCTGACACACATTTCGGGGAAAGTTCTGGGATATACTCCCTAGAGAAATAGTTCGAAAGCTTTGCCGTTCTATAGATAAACGAGTTTTGATAGCGAATTGTTCGACATATTATAATGTCGGAGTTGGCGACAAAAGGATGAGCTGGTCCTGGTAGCTCTTGGGAATACCTACTTTGGCAAAATAATCCAAAGCTTCGCCGTTCTATAGACAAACGAGTTTTCGTAAAGATATGTTCGAAATATCTCAAATTTGACGACAGAAGGATGTGCTGACACGTATTGAAAGTGAAGAAAGGATTGCCAAAATGTCTTGAGTACATTTTCCGTGAAAGTATCCCCAGAAAAGTTAAATGTCAGTAATTTTCCTTCGGTGCTATAATGATGTCAAGGTCAGTGAGTGTGGCGAAAAGCTAATCTCTGAATGGAATCTTCTAAGAGCATCAGCGTTTGATTGGGTACTGAACCCCATACGTGGAAACAGTATTCTGAAACGAGTCAGATTTGTGATTTGTAGATTATTAGAAGCTCCTGAGTTCTCAACACCCTGAATGGGCCAATCATGATTTGACTCTTTATCGATACCTGTATTTTTTCAAAAAGTTGACCGATTTTCATGCGGTTTTCGATATCAGATGTGATATTTCATATACTTCAAAAAGAGCTAGAACACTGTGGAGAAGTTTGCAAAACGTAACTCACACGGGGTGTAAAGTGGAACCATTACACTATGGTCTACATTTGCGATATTGCCAGAACTCAAGGAATTTTTTTCCGATTAAAAGTCAGTCATATTATCATACATTGAAACATAATTTATGAACGTTTTCGTGATTTCTCAATCAAGAACGGTGCCGAAAACCATGGCCCATTTGATTCATGATATTCAGAATCGACCTTCTTGATATCCATTATTTATAGTAGTCTACTAACTCAGCGAAAGCCTCTGGATATAATCTTAGTCCCTGGGTTATACTGATATTCTCTACTACCTTGCTGAATAAATAACTATGTATTAGTATAAATAACTATTATCCCATACAAAGAGGAAATGTAGGGGAACAGACGAACAGAATTTTGCTTCGGAAGTTGAATTTAATTGACATTGGTGAGACAATCAGCCTTCTGTTGGCTAGTTGGAATTAAATTAGCTTTTTCATGATTAGAATAACCCATCTCAAATTGATGAGAACATAAACATACTGTTGAAAATTATTCAAACTAGATATCGATCAAACATACAGTTCTTGTCCGTCAAACATTGTTTTATATAGCTATCAATAACTTCGAATCACTCGTGTAGCTAAAAATACGATCTTGGGATTTTTCAATGCTTCTATAGTCACGCCAAATGGTGTTTGGAAGTGTGCCAACTCATGAAATAATATTTTTCATAGTAGATAATTAGGATTCGATCTGCTATTTGTGAGTAATGGCCTTTAATGGGACCAAATAGTTGTGCCATTTAGTTTTAAAAGAGTGGATAGAAATAAACCATCAGCTAAATCACTCAGAAAGCCATACAATGTTTCTATTGTCGAAACATTTTTCACAAAATTCATAGAACAGGTACATACAGGGTGTCCTGCTTTGTTAGAGAAAACGCAGGCTTGAGTTTTGGTGGCGTTGA